TACAAATTTAGCACTTTACTGCTAAAATGGCCCTAAAAATATTGAGCAATGCTATTAAAATTGTATTTCAATAAACGCAATTTGATGAATGATCGCCGTCAGCGGCTGACGCAGCAATGACGCAGTCTGAAAGTTACTAATATTGCACAATGCACACATTAAATGGAAAGTCAGCTTAAGTTATTTTAATTCAAGAAAAGTGCCTAGGACATGGCGCGGAGTCACACGGCGGTCACGGAGTAATCAAGGTCTTGAGAGTTGTTAACATCATTAGCTGGAAGGAACAGACTGTGCCGCGGGCAAAACCGCAGGCGATCACAGCTTTGATATTTTGAGCCCGTATTGATTAACCTTCCGCCAGCAGAGAAGGAGCTATTTACAGTAAAACTGGGAGTAACGAGGAACCGGCTCGCTCACTTGCTGTTTGCCGCAGCGCCTTTTTCCAGTAGGTTCATTTTCGCGCTTTAAACCTGGAATCGGAAATTTGGGAGAGGTGCTTTAGGTGCAAAGATCATATGTGACTTTTACTGTGATCACCAACAATCTTCTATTCGTAACACCAATCTTAAAGTGGAGCTCCACCCAAAAGGAATTTAAGCCCTTGTCCCCCACTCCCCATTAACCACTTCCTGTCTGGACACTTTTACCCCCTTCCTGTCAAGGGCAATTTTCAGCTTTCAGCGCTATCACAGTTTGAATGACAATTGCGCGGTCATGCAACACTGTTCGCATATGAATTTTTTAGCATTTTTTTGAGACAGATAAAGCTTTATTTTGGTGGTATTTATTCACCGCTGGGATTTTTTTTTTTTTTTTTTGCTATGTAAATGAGAATGTCCAAAAATTTTGAAAAAGTGTTTTTCTTATAAAAAATTGCAAATAAATAATATTTCATCATAAATCTTGGCCAAAATTTATTCCGCTATCTTTTTAGTAAAAAAAAAAATGACAAATTAGTTTATAACCAAAAATTATAATTTTTAAACATTTTTTTTACATTTTTATTTTTTATTTTATATTATTTTTTTTTTTTTTGTTTTTGTTTTTTTTTTTTTTTACATACCGTCACCCTAGCAGTACATGGTGACACTGTACTACTGGTGGGGGGTGATGAAGATTTTTTTTTTTTCTTTTTACACTGATTGCATTTATACCCATAAAGGCTGTAAAAGCAATCATTTCTCTTTCTCTCTGTCTGCATTCTTGCAGCCATTGAGAAATACTGAGTGAGCTGTGATTGGTCACAGCTTGTCACATGGTACAAGGCTGTTGTGAATAGCCTTGTACCATGTGATCTTTGTGAGCATTCACAGATTTCACACGTAGTAAGCAATGATGTCACAAATGACATCTGGCTTACTACTTTGCATGGGATCACTGATTGGCCAATCAGTGATCACATGACGGGACCTCGTACAGAGGTCCCGTCCGACGATTGGTGTTTCACTGTGTCCAGAGGACACAGCGGGCTCCGGATCGCGGTGCTGCACGCTCCCAGGGAGCGCGCACAAGCAGGGTGCGGGGAGGCCGTTTAGAAACGGCCACCCGACCCTGCAGTGCCACCCTCCGGCCGTTTATATACAACGGCCGGGCGGGAGGTGGTTAAGGATTGGGGAATGCAGGGGGAGTGGGTACCTGATTTTGACAGGTAACCGTTCCCACTTCCGCTGCGATTACCTAGGCGATCAGAAGTTGAAGTTGTCCTCCCCCCCCGCCCCTCCCCGTAGTCTTCTGGGACACATGACAGGTCCCAGAAGACTACGGAGCCATTCACAAAGCGCAGCGCTTTTCACGCATGCGCATGTGGGCATTCGGCTGTGACTCTGCAAGCTGTCACAGCTGGATGCCCACACTAAAGATGCCGGTGCCGTGGAGAGAAGACGGTCAGTGAAACCAGCGGTGGTGAGGACATTGCTGGACCGATGGACAGGTAAGTGGCTGTATTTTAAGAGTCAGTTTTTGTAGCTGCTGACTTTTATCTATTTTTTTTTTTCAACTGGAACTCCGCTTTAACATTCCTAACACCTAAGTAACCCTTTAACTTCCCCTAACCCCAATACCTATGTTTAGTTAAAGCTTTACTTAAGGCTTCATTTTTATTTATTTCTTTTTTTAAATAACAAACATGTTATCCGCACCTGCACTGTGCAATGGTACTACAGAAATCGGCCCTGATCCTCCTCTTCTTGCGTCCTCCATCGGTGATCTTGGCTTCTCCTCTTCTTAGTGTGTCCCCATAGCAAGCCGTTTACTATGGAGGCACATGGTGTCTGCTTGCTCCTAAGTTCTGTGTCTATGGAGCCGCACTGCATAGACTCACACAGTGGGGCTCAGCCCCACCCCCACTTCCTCCTCACTGCATTCGATTGACAGCAACGAGAGCCAATGGCTCGTTTGTTAAGTTAATAATTTCAATTGTTAAGGTACGACTTAAGATAAGAGCCAATAATTTGTTTAAGTTAAATTTTGTTTTGTCATATTCATTATGTTAGATTGATTCCTTTTTGGAGTTCGTTTTGGATTTGTCTTGGATATTTGTTATTTTCGAATCTATTCAAAATGCCTATATTCTTTCTGTTTTTTATTCTATTCTACTGTATTCGAATCTCGAAGGTGGCTATATTCTTTCCGTTTTATTCTAGTCTATTCGAATTTCGGAAGACGGCTATATACTTTCTAATTTGTTCAATTTTATTGTGTAAGAAATTTGAATTTCAGAAGATGGCTATATTTATTCTGTTTTATTCTATTTTATATTCTGTTTTTTATATTCTATTCTGTTCCTTTCTGCTATATGGGACTGATCTGCAACCCTCTTCCCACAATGTGCAGTGCATACGGTTGCGGCATGCTAGTGTGGCATCCAAGGGGTTAGAGCAGGTGTTGAAGAGACAATACAATGCCTCCTCCCCATCTTCAGACAGCAACACTAGTGTGAACAAGCCCAAGGAGTGCTGTCTGTGCCCACCCTTTCTGCTTTTCCTTCATGGAAGCTGTACACTAGCTTTCATCAATAAAAAACGCTGTATGAATGCAGCCGCATGAGCAGCAGCTTGGGATGAGTCTGCCTGTGAGGGAAGCAGGAGTTCATCTGAGGAAAAGCTAGGGAGGTTCTACAGGTCAGAGCCCTCCCTCCCTTCCAGAAACTTTATGGAGGAGGCTGAGATGTTCATGTTTGAGGGACCTTGGCCAATCCCCTGGCAGGAGGCTGGTGATCAATGCAACCCTCAAATATCATAGAGCCGGGGGAGCAGAGTCAGTGCAGTGTTGGGTGGAAGATGGATTGAGAAAGGCTGGAGTGAGAAGCCTTGGAGGGGGCCCCAGGGAGGGGAGCCCACCTGCAGGCAGTATTCTGGAAGGGAGGATTTCCTCTGTCCCATCTTTTCGATGGGAGGACAGCCTGTGAAGCAGGGAAGAAACAAGCCCAGCATATGACTTGAAGACAGCCACTAGCCCACTAAGCAAGCAGAAAAGGACAGAGTACTCCTACATCCCCCGGGCCAGATAAGGGGAGAGCTTGGTCAGGTGCTATACCCATCTAGCCTTCATTTGGGACCTCTTAATTGCATGCTCTCGGCCCCCCTTGCCCAGGGATACCCTCCGGCAGCTGGATGAAGAGGAGGATTCATCTGGGGTCTGAGGAGGTACATCAAAGAGTTTTTTGAATGTTCTTAAAGGAGAGACTGTTTTTATCTGCATTTTTGTACATAGTTTCTAAGAAGTTGTGCTCAAGTTTGGGCACCCCATATACCCCTAGACCTCACCCAAGTTCTATACCCCTAGACCCCACCCAAGTTCTATATCCCTAGACCCCACCCACGTTCTATACCCCTAGACCCCACCCACGTTCTATACCCCTAGACCCCACTCAAGTTCTATACCCCTAGAACCCACCCAAGTTCTATACCCCTAGAACCCACCCAAGTTCTATACCCCTAGAACCCACCCAAGTTCTATACCCCTAGAACCCACCCAAGTTCTATACCCCTAGACTCCACCCAAGTTCTATACCCCTAGACTCCACCCAAGTTCTATACCCCTAGACTCCACCCAAGTTCTATACCCTAGACTCCACCCAAGTTCTATACCCCTAGACACCACCCAAGTTCTTAACCCCTTAATAATATCACAAAACCAAGCTTAAGTTTACTGACTCTGAGTGCAAACTGTGGAAAAATGCGTGTTGCTTGGCTGTGCAGAGTTATAGGGGGACCCAAAAGTCAGCAACTCCTAAGTGCGTAGTGCGATAAATGGATGAGGTGGACCTTTCATTCACCTGCTCATTCTCTATTCATAGAGCATTTTTCATTGATGGAAGCTATAGTTTTAAAATGGAGCTCTTTTCTTTCTTTCGAGCACGGTTTATTTGGAGCACATGATCAATCACTTTGTCACTTATTTATATAAAAAAAGAAAAAAAATATTTTTTTCTGGGGCAAGGATTGCATCTTTACTTTTTATGATGCATGGTGATCCCCAATAGCCAGCCAGGCAATTTTTTTTTTTATAGGTATGGTGAGGTGTGGGGCCTGTCCATGTTTGGTGTATGTTCTTACCACATGGATGGGCGTACCTGTACTACATATCTGTAGCAAGGTAAATAGTTGGGTTGAGGTGGAAGAATAATATTTAGTCAAATAGGTTATATCTCAGTCTTTCCCTGTAAGCCCGGGTTCACATCTGCGCGGTGCGGTATATCGCATTCCTGTGCAAATCACATTGTGTGTGGTGCGATTGGAGCCATACATTCTGTATGACTCTATTCGCACCGCACCCACACCAAAAAAACGTGCAGGACCCTTTTTTGGGTCCGCACTAGAATCGGATCGCATAGGTAGTTCACACCCATGCGATCCGATTCTGCACATCGCACCGCGTTTTGCGGACTGCTTTTGGGGTGTTGTTAACAACATACACACCCGCAGCAGTTCGCATGAATGGGGTGCGATTCTGATGCGGTGTGGAATTCGCACAGAAAACGCAGCAAATTCCGCACCGCATCAGCATGGTGAAGGAATGGATGCTCCCCTTGCCCTGTGGGTATTGATCAATGACAAGTCCATATACCTTTTATTACAAAATCCTATATACAGGTTTATGGACATTTTGAGTGGGCTTCATTGGTGTGTAGGGTCACACACACGGGCGGACTGACCATTTGGAAACTCGGGCACTCGTGTACAGAAGAGTATTTTTTTTTTTAGCTCTTTGTATTTATTTATTGCAGGTATTTATATAGCCCAGACAATTTACACTTTGTTTTACAATGTGTACATTCACATCAGTCCCTGTCCTAAAAGAGTCAGACTTCTAAGAGAGTCATTACAAAGGACAGGGGGGCACTCTTTATCATCTGGAGGAGGAAAGAGATTTCATCTCCAAATTCAGAAAGGCTTATTCACAGTAAGAGCTGTGAAAATGTGGAATAGATTCCCTCAGGCACCATTTCTGGCCACCTCAGCAGATTGTTTTAAATAAAGAGCTGGATGGATTCCTAAATGCACAAAATATAACTGGATACTAATATGAATAGGTAACAGCACCAGGTATTGTTGATCCAGGGAATATCTGATTGCCTCCTAGGGGATCAGGAAGGACCATGGACCATTGGACTATCTTTATTGGGGTTTTTTTTTTTTGCCTTCCTCTGGATCAACTTTGGGTATAGAGTTGTGTATATGGAGGTTTTCTATTTATCCTATTATTTTTTTCTGTTGGTTATGTTTTGTTTGACATGTGACTATGTAAATCCCAACCTTTTTTATGGTCCAGCACTACCACACAGCTACCAGATCTTCAAAATGTTGTTACTGAAGGAAAGGTGCGGAACAATTCTTCCAATAAGGACACCAGTTTCCTTGACAGCTAAGGTGGATATTCCATTCCCTTTGAGGCAGGGGGCGGACTGACCATTTGGAAACTCGGGCACTGCCCAAGGGCCCGGGGTCAGTAGGGGGCCCCATGAGATACCCCTGGTACATTTTTCATAGGCTTTTTTGAGTTTGGGCAAGGACACAGGGGCCTCATGATCCCCTATTGCCTGGGGGGCCCCATGAGTTGTCAGTCCGCCCCTGCTTTGAGGGGATTTCACTTGCGTTACATATCATCACACATACCAGAGTGAGTGCAACATTTCTAAGCCCATTATTCACAGCCAACTCTAAAGGTTGCCTTAAGCTTTGCCTATGGAAAATAGAGGGTATCAAAGTTCGACATTTTGTGGAAATGCGCAGTTATAAAGTTTGACACGTTGAGTTCCTGTTTTACACTGTACAGCCTCATCTTTTATATTGCACCAAAAAAAGTGTAACATTTTGCATTTCTGGGCCCAGAAATGAACTTTAGTGTATTCTTACTGAAAATTTGCGCTTGATAGACCGTTGCTCAAATATTCTGGGACATAATAAAAATTGGATCTTCAAACATTTTATTCACTAGGGTGCTTTCACAATATACGATGCTTGGGGGGCTTTAACTAATCTTTGATTTTTTTTTAAACTAGTGCAAATAAAAAACACAAACACTTCACAAGCAAAAGGGATAAAGTGTGTGTTGGGACAAATAAAATTCTGAATGCTCTGGAGTCCATGTATATTTCTCAATGTTTTATCCCTTTAAAAGCACTGAAAGTACAAAAAAAATACCTGCTGACGTGGCAGAAAACTAGTGAGCTTCTAACTTTTTGAATTGTACATTGATGTGATTCCCTTAATAAAGACCTGGAATGGTGCATTGGGGGGAGGGGGTGTCTCCCTTTTTTATCAAAATAAAATGAAAACATGCCATTACAGACCTCTATAGTTCGAGACGCTGTGGAACAATACCTCCACAATAAATGCAGTGAACTATTTGGAGTCTCAGCACTCTGAGACTGCTGTCTCCTCACTTCCTCTGTACTTATTATTAATCAGGATTTATATAGCTCCAACAGTTTGCCCTTTATTTGTTCTATGTTTGCATTAGATATCAGAGTGCTGGAAAGCTGCCTAATTAAATTGGTTGTAAAGGCTCAAAGTTTTTCGCCTTCATGCATTTTATTTCTCTGTGCAGCCGCTCCCCCAGCTCAATCTAATACTCACCTAAGCCCCCTCTCGATTCAGCGTTGTGCACTGGAGTCTCAGCAGTCCTTATTGGCTCAGACAGCAGTGGGAGCCATTGGCTGTCAAACACAGCCAGTGAGCCAATGAGAAGATAGAGTGTGTGAATGGAAACACAGGGCAGCGAGTGCCTCCAAAGCAAGCTGCTTGCTGTGGGGGCACCCGACAGGAGAGAGGTGCCAAGTGCGCAAGTGGGGGACCCAAGAGGAGGAGGATCTGGGCTGCTTTGTGCAAAACCACTGCACACAGCAGGTAAGTATGATGTGTTTGTTATTTTTCTTTCTTTCTTTTTTTAATGTAAGCCTTTAATATCACTTAATGCTATCACTAAATAATGTAGTGAGAGAAAGTGAAAGTAAAAGCGTTTTTGCTGTAAACATGGAGAATGAATTACCCCACAGTACTTGCAGCTACAGAGGTCAGTGATGGCTTATTTTAAAGTTGTTCTAAAGGTTCAATGTTTTTTACCTTCATGAAGGTAAAAAACCTTCTGCGTGCAGCATCCCCCTCAGCCCCCCCCCCTCCCCTTAATACTCACCTAAGCCCCCTCTTGATCCAGCGGTGTGCACTGGAGTCTCGGCTATCCCGGGACTCCCTGTTCTCATTGGCTGAGACAGAAGCGGGGGGCTATTAGCTCCCACTGCTGTCAATCACAGCCAGTGCACCAATGAGAAGAGCAAGGGGGTGGGGCCAAGCCGTGGCTCCGTGTGTGAATGGACACACAAAGCAGTGGGTGCCCCTATAGCAAGCTGCTTGCTGTGGGGGCACCTGACAGGAGGGAGGGACCAGGAGCGCCGACTGGGACTCGAGAAGAGGAGGATCCGGGCTGCTCTGTTCCAAACAACTGCACACAGCAGGTAAGTATAGACATGTTTGTTATATTTTTTTTCCTTTAAAGTATACCTGAATGCAAAACTTCTTTTTAGTGGTGAATAGTGGTTAGAATCGCTGTCCATTTTTTATTTTTTTCTGTAACCTCGTTAAAGACATACACCCTCTAATTGTCCTAATTACCATTATTAGCATGAAAAATATGAGTTTCCACCAGAACAGGAATAGAGAAGAAATCTTCCAATGAAGATTCCAACACTTGCTCCTGTGACAACTGTCTAGAAGGGGATGTCCCTCACATTTGAATAATATCCTCACTTCCTGTTGAGTCTACAGGGCAGGAAATGAATGGAAATCTCCCTAATGAGACACAGTTGGTAAAAAACCAACAGCAGTTTTAAGACCCTGTAAAGGCTAGTACACACAATCAGAAAATTGTATGAAAACTACCGCTTTCAAAGCGATCGTATGATAATCTGATTATTAGTACACAGCTTTCATCTGAAATTTTTGGAAGGGGCAAGCACGAAAAGTTTTCTTGTATGATACCAGATCATATGATTTTTGTTTTTAATCAGTACAGTTTTCATCCAAAAATACAATACATGACATCACTTCTGAATTTTTATTCTGTCGTACAAGAATTTTTGGAACTTAAGTAACTTCTTTACTTTCAATAGAGACTAGCATGCAAAAAAATGGACGATCATTCGTCCGATATTCTCATGTGTACGGGGGCATTAGTCTATCCAAAAAGAAAAGTGTTGGCTTTAGATAAATGTTAAATTAGTTGTAAAGGCTGAAGGTTTTTAACCTTCATGCATTCTAAAAGTGATAGGGGGGAAATTTTCCGCAAGGGAAACTTGTTCTGTTGACCTGGGGGTCTCCAAGGGTTTCTGTTAATTTTGCAGGGATTTCCTCTCACTTCCTGTTTTGGCTATGGGACAGAAAGTGAAGGGAAATCTCCACAATGGGATACAAACGGTGAAAGAAAATCTGACGGGTTACAACCCTCCCTTACACTATCCAGTTTTGCCTATAGTTCTATGTTAGGTAACGCAGAGTTCAGGGGTCAGGATTAAGTAGGGCACAGAGTTCAGAGGTCAGGATAAGTAATGTTCAGCACTCAACGGTCAGGTTTAAGAGTGCAGAGTGTTCAGGGATCAGGCTTAAGAGTGCAGAGTGGCCAGGAGTCAGGCTTAAGAGTGCAGAGTGGCCAGGGGTCAGGCTTAAGAGTGCAGAGTGTCCAGGGGTCAGGATTAAGTAATGTACAGTACTCAGAGGTCAGGCTTAAAAGTGTATAGTGTTCAGGGGTCAGCATTAAGAGTGCATAGTATTCAAGGGTCAGGATTAAGCAATGCTCAGAGGTCAGGATTAGGTAACACACAGGTAACACACAGTGATTAAGTTAAGTAAGTTAAGTAATACACAGAGTTCAGGGGTCAGGAGTAGGTAACACACAGAGTTCAGGGGGTCAGGATTAAGTAACGCACAGTGTTCAGGGATCAGGAGTAGGTAACGCACAGAGTTCAGGGGTCAGGAGTAGGTAATGCACGTAGTTCAAGGGTCAGCAGTAGGTACTGCACGGAGCTCAGGGGTCAGGAGTAGGTAACGCACAAAGTTCAGGGGTCAGGAATAAGTAACGCACAGAGTCCAGGGGTCAGAAGTAGGTAATGCACAGGCGTCAGGATTAGGTAACACGTAGAGTTCGGGGGTCAGAATTAAATAATGCTTAGAGGTCAAGGGTCAGGATCAAGTGATGCACAAAATTCAAGGGTTAAGATTAAGAAGCGCACAAAGTTTAGGGGTCAGGAGTAGGCAATACACAGATCAGGCATCAAGATTATGTAGCACGGAGTTCAAGGGTCAGGGCTAAGTAACACAGAGAGTTCAAGGTCAAGGCTAAGTATGCAGAGTTCAAGGGTCAGGATTACATAAGGCACAGAGTTCAGGATTGTGCAGTTACTTACAGATTGCAGCTTTTGTCTGTATTCCTCAAGGCCCGACATCATTCAGGGAGCTAGGTAGACTATTAAATTCACAGTGCATGGGCTCCAACTCATCAGCAACACTCCAAAATGGCACAGCTGGAGCAGTCTGCGTATGCATGGCAGCATGAATGGGAATGCACACAAAGAACGCTCCATTAGTCCTCTCTTTGAAATAACACTTGTGCAGTGTGACATGTTGAAGCCTGAGCACTGTGAAGTTTATGGCATTGTCTCCCAGAGATAAACCGTTCACCACTGGGACTTTCCCCATGAAATGGAGACAGATGGAAACCTCATTAAAATGGTACAAATCACATTTATCACTCCTGTGCATTATTCATAAGACAGTGTTCGCATAAGTACTAGTTCCCCATCTCTTTACATTTTTGTCTTCAGATATGGAGAGGTCACACTAAAATGTATTTTCAAACTAAATTGTGCAGGACTATTGATCATGGATAAAGTGCAAATGCCTGCCACAATCGACCAGATGTAATCTTCCATCAATTCACGATGGTTAGAACCGCAAAAGATGACTGCTCATTGTTCGATGGGTTAACTGTACTTTGCACATTGCTTTATGAAACAACCAGTGGGTCCCAAGCATCAAATCATGTCATTGCTTTCATTGTCTGTCCATTACATTGTGTTGTTGTGTTCCACTGCCATCCTAACAACTTCTCCTTCACTTTTCAGTAATGTCATTGTTAGCGATACATTCTTTGGATCCAGCATCAAAAGAAAACTTAGGTATATGTGTACTGATTGCACATTGTCATTCATTGCATGCTTGCCTTTGCTTGCTCCTTTATGTTTAGTTGCATCACTTAGTAGTCCACATCTCAGCACAGCCACAGTACTGCAAACAGTTTGGGGCTCTGGTGACGTATGTGTGGTATTGAAGTACGCTTGCAACTAGAACCTTTTTTTAAGATATTTGAAGCATTGTCTCCATTTTTTTTTTTATCCATATGTAATGTTTACCTATACAGAAAATGGAATATTGAAACATCTGGACTGGGTAGCTGATGCCGTAAGCTGATGGGGTAACGCATTCTTCTTACATTAAAGCTGTACTCAAGAAAACCTGAAAACTCTCCCTTGCGCTGGGGCTGCTCATTTAGTCTTGTGCAGTGG